CGAAGGGGCCCAGATTGCAACATAAATAATCTCTATGCTTTTGTTAGTACTTGCACCTGCAGTCACCAAAGGCTGCAAGGTGACTCCCCTGCTGTGTTACTGTTTCCTTCACTTCTCAGTTTGCAAATGCTAATCAAATCTGGCAGCACTTAAAGCTTAAAGGACTAGGTGATAGAGCAGCCTGGAGAAGTGGCCCAGAAAGGAGAATGAAAAATGATACTTCAGAAGAGCTAGCAGGGAACAGCAGCAGCCTGGAAGGCAAATAGCACAGGGAGCTCTCTATGCAAAAGTGTGCAGAAGTCTGTTTCACTTGGAAGCTAATCTTCCTTGTCGGTGCCTTAGAAATATAAAAACATGACAATTCAGTCACTAAAGAATAACTAACGCTTACCAAAGAACGCATTCAGAAGCTTCTGCACCTGGATATTGCTGCCAACGGTTCGATACACGCCCTCAGTAATGATGCCTGGACAGGAGAAAGATGAAAACCATTCATTTAGTGTCCTTTTGAGACTACGGTAGTTCAAAAGCGCCATCTACTGGAGCAATATTTTCTCCTAAAAAGCTAAGAGGGTGTCAGTGTCTGTGACAGAACTGAAACACTTACCCTAAGAACCACATGAACAACTGAGAACAAATAATTGTAAATACAACGAAAAAACCCAAAAAACAAAACTGGCCACAGACAGATCTTATTATCCTATAATGCATGTGTTAGGCAGAATGAGTCATCAAATATTTCTGCAAACTGCTCGGGCCACGTAGCTAATATGTGAGCAACTGGTGGCAAGTATTCATTAGTCTAAATTGAGCTGTTCACTTGGGACGTTTCTGTTTTTTGACTGGATCAGTGCAACACTTACAGTCAGATTTCAGAGATGACTAGTCACAAATCTGAAACTGACTTCTTGCCAGTCCTGCAACATCGCTTTAAATCTAGTTTGTTAGCAAAATGGTTTGCTGGCATCATTGAGAAAGTAAAGACAGTCAAAGCTGATTCTTTTAAAGTATGAACCAATATTTGGAAAACTTGTTTGCATTATTTACTCAACTATGTTTCCTTTTCTGCAAATGCCAGTGGTTATACAGCACGGCTGGGATTTCTAGAGTCAGACTACTTCTGAGCAGATTACTGTTCTTCAGACTGGGGGACAGGGTTGTGGCTAAACCCGCAGGAATGCTTTGAAAAATTAAACCTCACATACGTATTATGTTTGAATAAATCTTTATTTTCTGAAGATACTCCCTTATCTTCACCTGACACATGCCTGAAAATAGTTTCAGAAAATGCTCTACTGTGGTCTGGTACCAATCATGTGGTATTTCAAACTTAAAGGCAAAGTTTTTGAGAAACTAAGGAATGAGTGAAATCAAAAAGAAAGTGGGAATTCAACCTTGACTAGTGTGTGCTGCTGCTGCAGGTATTCTAAGAAGACATGGTTTCTGTCATTTTGACATACGCTCTTTATCCAGTGAAAAAAGTTTGACTTTTATATGGCAATTTCGTCACGAGGAAGAAATCACAGCGCAATCAAATGCCATTCAAACAAGTAAATGCCAAAAGCAAATGGTTTCCAGTCACCGTGCTGATATCTTCTTACCTTTCGTCTCTACTGCATTGATGCATTTCCTTACAAACTTGAAGCCAACCTCGTTCAACTCCACTATTTCAAACAAAGGGAAGCAAAGTTAGCTGCCTGCGCATCACATGCAGTTACTGGGGGAGACCTATCAAGGATGAAGTTACCACAGGGTCTCACCTTCCAAGTTCGCTGTTTTTTTAGGGACTACATTTTCCAATCCAAACGTGTAAAATGCACAGCCACAGCCACAGCCTAGCATGCAAATATTATTTTTCTGTGCAGGGTCAAGTCAAGGCTGCATATCCATTTAGCCGCACCTTGCACTTGTAAGGTCAGGTATTTACATCTCTGCATTGTTTTGTACAAAATTACAAATGTATTTTGAAAGCTTATCCAAGATTTGTTTGTTTTCATTTGTTCTCTATTTTCCCCCCTCAGATTTGCTTTGCTAATAAGCTTCCACCCCACTGTAATTTGCTAATAAGCTTCCACCCCACCGTAAGCTTTGTAATTTGCTAATAAGCAAAATTTTGCTAATTTGCAAAATTTGCTAATTTGTAATAAGCTTTGTAATTTGCTAATAAGCTTCCACCCCACTGTAATTTGGAGAGTTCAACCATACACAGATTGCTGCCTGACAAGAATTGATTTGTGGATTCCAGCACAGTAAAAAACCTGCAGACTCTGGCCTCTTCCATAATGCAACAGCGTGCAATATGTATCTACTTGCTGAATTACAGAAAACAACAGATCTATATTAAACAGATAGAGAACACAAGACTTCTTCCCCACTGATTAACCAACATAGTATTACAGTAGTGGCTTTTCATTATAAGCAGGGATGCCAGTTTTCTCCGATTAAAAAAAAAAAAATCCCCAATTTTTGTTTTTAAAAAGTACCCCAAAATCCACATTTTTCTATGATTAAAATGAAACACAGCTATATATAGCTCTCTATATTAGTGGCGTTTCATTTTAATCATGGAAAAATGTGGATTTGGGGTTACTTTTTTTAAACTGAAAATTGGGGATTTTTTTAAATCAGAGAAAACCAGGATCCCTGAAAAGGCAGGCAAAAAGCTGGCCTGTTTCTTATAGTGCTTGCTTGCTTGATTCTATCTTCTTTAAGTAGATTATAGTTCACCTTGGACTTATTTGATGCCCAAGAAAGTCAGTTCTTTATACCTCAGTGGTATCCTACTTTGTTTCTTAGAGCCCAGTCCTTCAACTTACTTAAATGGATTATCTCTAGTCACACTGACCCTTCTAATGACTTTGGTGGGACCATTTATATAATGAAGTTTTGAGGAAGAGGGCCCATGTTTCTACTTCAGTGGCTTTGTACACTGAAGTAGCGGTCTGTCTGTGGCAAACTGGTATTTTGAATTTCTCTCAAACATCACTATAACTGGGGAGAAGAAAAAGGCTGTCTAAAATCTGACTCGTGGCAACTTTATATCAGAAGCGGGATTTCTTCAAAGGAATTTGGATCATGTCTATAGCTAGTCAGCCAGGAAAACAAAAGTTCTTTGATGGGAAATTTCAAAATGGAAAAAACTTCATTCAAAAAAATGCAATTGGTCAAAAAACAAAACAAAAAAAAGTTTTTACTCATTTGGATTTCAATCCACATTCCAATGGAAATATCTGGTTTTGAAAATCTGGTTTCAAAATATAACGCCATTCCAACATCCCACCTTTTCTTTTTTGATTTTCCAGGAACTATTGATCTCAAAATTTCTAGTGGAAAATGCAAAGTTTCTCCTTGGCCCTGATACTTTAATGTTAAAATTTGGTTTTAACCTTAAGAGTAATTTGTTTGACAAGAAACGTTTCCTCATGAAAATCTATGGATGAACTCTCCTCAGGGCACAGACTCTCTTGCAAGGACTTGTATGCTTGCCACAGCTACCAGCAAGTCAGTTTTAAGGAGCACACCTTTTCTTAGCATCTTTGCCAGAGACCTGAGATGTAGAGTAGCTTTATAGGAGGACCTGCTCACATCTATTAGCGGAGAGTCGGTGCCTGATTTACCAGCCTGCATGGTGTCCAGTTCCATGCTGTTACAAATAGGGTTCATCCGTACTGCTGAGCTGGAAGGAACACAACTCATCTTCTCCAAGTGGGGACTGATCAGTCTCAAGGACTATGTACAAATGGAGTTTCCTCCATCCAATAGCTGTACAGATTAAGGACGTGCTACACAAGTCTGAGTAACTGAGCAAATCATGCCTAAGAGGCAGAGTGCATATTTTTCAATACCCACTAAGATGCCTCAGTAGTAAATCTGAAGTACTGAAATATTGGAGGCAGGGTGGTTGTAAAGATGCCACATTGCAGACTGTAAGCAAATGCAAAATGAAGGGTAGGGGGAGAGCTAAGGAGAACAGTTTAGTAATTAGCTGTAATGGGCTGTGGGTATTTGCACAGTCAACCGATTGAATGTGTGGTATTCAAGGTGGCACTCATGAACTCTAGCTCAAAACAGGAGATATGGGAGAACCCAATGGTTTTGGATTCTCAAGAAATCCCTTGAATATTTTCTTTCTTTTTTTTTTTTCCCCAAAGGTTTACTGTGCAAAACTCTATCAAATCCCACGGGACTCTTTCCCTCCCTCCTATGTTTTCTGATGGAAATTTAAATGAAAACCTTATGTGTTCTCACTGAGTGCTTTGCAATTCTGGTTTGAAAATCTTCCTTAACTGGCTAAAATGGCCAGGGGATAAAATTAAAGAAGTCATACAGCAACCCAATAAGCAGGTCTGGCACCAACTGGAACATGAAGTTCAAGGGTTTTGAGCTGTATTTGAAATCGAGAACTTGCATTTTTCAAGTGGGGAAGGAGGGCTTGGAATTAGCAAGTTCTCCCATCCCTGCCCAAAAGAACAGTCCTTCTCTACTTAAAATAGCTAAGGGCTTATCTTGCACAAGGGCTGAACACTCTCAACTCTGAGAGACCTAAAGGTACTCTGCATCTTTTAGGATCAGACCCCAAGATCTCTGTAGTGTTCTTAGCTCACTGAGCAGAGGGAATACGCATTTCATCCAGGAGGAGCAGCAATAAGCAAATCTACAAAGTTAAGTTGCACAGCTTCAGCACAGGAAGCTCTTAGGCTTCAGAGGAATAGAAACATGAAGGACTCACTCTCTTCCTGTTTCGTGATGGGACTGTGGTAGATCTAAAAAAAGGGAGGAAGGGGAAGAAAGAAAAACATAAGCAAGCATGACTTGTGGCTTACTTCCCAAAGAAAATCCACCACTACTTAAATGAGTGCAGGCAAGTCACAAGCACACAGCAGATCTATAGTCTCCAATGCAAACTGTCTTATAATTAAACAGCATGTAAATCTCTATTTAGCAAAGGAGTTATAGCCTCCCTAAGTTTCACTGGAGCACCTGTTTCCATACTGAAGACAATACTTTACCCCTGAGGTATACTGCATAAATCAGGGTGGAAGCAATGTAGTTAGGCCTCCATTTATTTACACAGAATAATAAAACATTGTTTTCTTCATCCTTATGCCACAACACCATGTGTATATTTCAAAAATGCTACTTGGTGTCTTTCCTCCCAGAGGTTCAAAAGCCCTTTTCAGACAGTAACAAATTGCATAGAAGCTGGCTGAATACTGGACATTACTCAGATTCTCAGTGGCTTTCCATCACAAGCAAGTTCACCCTCCTCGTTACTTAATATTTATCTATATTCACAAAACCTGTTCTTTGCTTGCTTCATATGGACACCCAAGTCACACAGGAACCAAGATTGTTTACTAATTTATATAAAATGAAAATCAAATATTACCTGTTGGTCTCCTGTTGTGAAAAATTTCAGTTACCCAATAGAGAAGTTTGCACAATACTATGTAACTTATGTTATTGATCACAGCACACAAACAGGTGAACAATGCTAACAACATCACTGTGAATTAAAATTTGTTTGTGTAAACTATTTTTTGAACATCTAAATTCTCAGAAACTGAGATCATGATTTGTGAGTCGCAAAGGTGAAAAAAGGCTACACTTGCTGGATACTCAATTCACGATGGATAATTTTACTCATTCTAGAATTAAGCCTCAGTTTTGCCTGAAGGTAGATGGGTTAAGTGTTATCCTTGTTTTAAAGGTGAAAAACAAAAGTTCTGAGAAATGCAGTGACTTGCCCATGAAAGAGAACCACTTTCTTCTGACACAGAATCTTGCATTTTACCAGTAAAAAATGCCTTCTTTTCACAAGGACAGATAAAGGCAAAGGCTAATTTGAACAGCTTTGGCTTGGCCTTTTGATTATTTTTACAAAATGCTTGACATAACCAGAGATTCTCCTCAATTTTCCATGACAAAAGCACCATTCTAATAATTACTGCAAGCTTGTCATTCCTTTACTTCACTGTTGTACTTGGAGCCTGAGTAATTCACCAGGTGGGATCCAGGAAAATGCACTTATAAGGGTTTCGCATCAACTCCCACACAGTTGGCTTTACAACACGTAGCAAACTTTGTAGGGGGCACCAAACAGTCCTTATGCTAGGATCCCACCCCTCATGCTTCTCATCATCAATACAGCTCTGGGCAAAAAAGGACTTTGATGCCAGCATCTGATCAAGCAGGCTTCAGGTCACAAAAGCATGTGCTACACCCCCCCCCCTTCTCTCTACTTTGGTTAGTCTATAAGGTACAATTCTACTCTGCTTTCTGCCAGAATTAGGTGCTAGTCTTTTTACAAAGGTATTGGATAACATCGGGCTGTTTAAGGAAAAGGAGCTGCCAAGGGATGCAAGGAAATGGCAGGAAATATGTTTACTCACATTGCACACAGTGCTTTCTGTTTACAGGAAATTCTGTGAAACAGAGAAGTTTATGCTGGGCTTAGATTAAAGGACGGAAACCAACAAAGAAGCACAGACAGCTTTGGAAAATCTATGCTCAGATTGTTTTCTTATATGTCTGAGCACATACAAACAGGGTGTCTACAATGCCAGACTAGATTTACAAGCAGCTGTGATATACAAGCAAGAGCAAACAATAAGCAATCTGTTCTTTCATACGGATTAGGCTCTGATCTCCCATATGTCCAAATCAGTTTTATGGGGTTTGCTGTAGGCCAGTATAACTACCAGAAACAATACATCATACCACAGGATAAAAGTGGACAGTGCAGCATGGTTCTGACTACTAACAACACTTAGCATGAAGAATGTGAAAATGTATTTTTAAAGCTCTACTTCCTCCACTGAGACCACACAAAAACTGTGATGTTGCTGACTGCATAACCAATATCATAAGCTCTCTAAGCAGCCTTACCAGTATGCTATGCATCTAAGTGTGCAAAATTACACCACTAGAGGACACTGCGCACAGCACATCTATCAACCAGACACCAATTCTGGAATACTTACTGGCTCCTTTCCATCCATGGCTTCCATCCATAGCCGTCTATTAGCTTCTGAAAGAGCCTGCAATGTGATGGTTGCAGACCTGTATGGATTTTTACAAAAAAAGGCACAAAGGAATTTAATCTAGGAGCAGAGAGTATGTTTCTGGAAGCCATTTCAATACTATACAAGACTGAATATACGTGGTGTTTTGAGGCCACCACACACGCACATTTTTAAAGCAGGTGTCTATTGCAATATTACTAACACCAGGAAATGACACACAGGGGCGGAAGTTACACACAGGCTGATAGCAGTGGTAGAGAAATCCCTAAATCAACCTATCCACACGTTGTCTTCCTGTATTTATCAACAGGGAGCTAATCATGCAGACTGAGATGCCCAGCAGTGATACACCAGCCTGCCCTCACACTTGTAAGCTTGGGAACACTTTTTGACAATTTCTCAGTTGTCAACAAAGGGTTTCTGAAAAATCATTACAGTTGGTGTCAAGCTAACTGCTCCTCCCTCTTTTGCCAAGCACTTCAGAGACCTTTATTTTTTTTACATATCCAGCAAAAGACGCATGGAAAACACGCAAGAAACAGCCAGGTACAAAGGACCCCTGGACTAGGTAATCCGACCAAACACGTGACAGATACAGACCACCAGAGCTTACTCTGTGCAGAGTTCATCTAGAGAACTAGCTACTGAGTCAAATGGTGGACAATGCAGTGGGTGAGATTCTACCCACTGGCACTCCTATAACTCACCGATTCATATTTAATTAACTGCTATCATATCAATTTTCTAGACAGGGACAAATGAGTTTAGCATGATGTTACCTAACATTAAGAGGGTTGAGGGTTGATAAAAATCTTACAGTGGAGTTCTCATGTGGTGATAAAGTCGTCACTGTGTACACAGACTACACATTCATATACACGATTGGATCACAGTTTCCTGGGGTGATCTCAGTACATCTCCCTTGTGCTGACGGAATTGGCCAGAGATTCAGGAAGACTGCCCAATGCAAAGTGCCATGTATATGACAGTCAGTCTTCATATGCTTTTATTCCCTTGCTACTGTCAATAATAATCATCCTATGCGTTATCATTAGTGGGCAAAACTCCCTTCAGCCTTCTGTCACCCTTGTGCAGGTAAGACTCCCTGGTAAGCATCTTGAGTAAAGAACAAAAAATTTGGTGCGGTGCCATATATTTCAAAGACTGCATGTTATTCCAGAATGCACAATCTGAAACCCAAGGCTCTAAACTTTAATCCCGAGTTCTGCTCCCCTTGCACGTAATAATTTTCAAAGCACTTGGTTTCTTTTAGAAGTCCAACCTAATTCATGCCCTACTGCTATAAAACTACCTCAGAGGTCCACGGAAACAGGTTTCTATGGTTTATAGTGAACGGCATACAAATAATCCAAGGGGTAATGCTTCAGCTGTGTAAAATAGCTATACTGTAGCTATATCAAGGTTAAAGATGCATGAAGAAGTACAAGGACCTGATCCTTACTGAAAACAACGGGAAGTCAGGGCCCTTCATGCCTCAGAAAGGGAGGTCACAGGATAAGATGGGCCCAGTAAAATGCATTCTCAATTTAACAGCAAGACTCCCATTAGTTTCAATGGACTTTGGTTCAGGCAGCAAGACTACAGGCTGAGGACGAAGAACACTGGATTCCCTACATGTTCTTCCTGCGCACATAAAACAGATTTTAGTATATTCAGAGATGATGCACCCTCACTCAAAAGAATTGTAAGCCCCAAGCAAAGGAAAGCAAACACACAAAGGACATGCCAAGAAATCCGAATGGTGTTTTGAATGTTAGAGTAATGGGAAAATAGCAATCGCCCTCCGGCTCACCTTTCATTGGTTTCAATGTCAAAACAAAACCTCTTGTCTATAGAATCAGTTTTTCTCCTTACACAGGACTTCAAGGTCAAGTCTAAGGTGCCCTGGAAAGAGAGAAACATTTAAGCCAAAACAATGAACAATAAAATCTGGAGGGAGGGGTACAGTTTTTAGAATCCTTTGGCCATCTTCCTACTATCTGTGGAGACATAATGAATGATTGTGCAATCTCAGCATGAGCCTTGCTAATCAGCTAGTATTTGTAGCATGATGGCAGATGGTACGGTGCACCATTCTGCCAAACTGTAACTGTGATAGAAATCAATTGGCTTAGTAAGACAGGCTTTCTCCCCGTAACATGAGTTGGCAGCTTACTAGGATTACAATGTGAATAAGAGTTTAAAGTCCCAGTATCTAGTCTTTCATTATGCATTGGTATGGCAGAAATGTTGCTTATGATAAACGGGTCACTAATGCCGTTAGACCAGGCAAGGATCATGTCTCTCTATGTATCTGTAGAGTGTCAAACACAATGGAATCCCAATATGTATTGGGGTTCACAGGTCATGCTACACTAGTATCAAGTTACCAGCAGCTGCAGTAATGAACCAAACCATTATAGGAACAGGTCTGAAAGCCATTTAAAGGACCCCTGGACTATTGCCCAAATAATGTATTGCCCAAATATCACCCTCTTGTGTTTTTTGCAAACCCATAAGAAGCTAGCCATTAGTGCACAGATGTGGAATTAATCTTTGCCCAATCGTTGTTATCTGTAGTCTGGAAAGATTTTTGGATCAAATAGATTCTAAAGACTTCAACTGTGTTGAGAACATTTTCAAGGCATCTTATTTCTTTCTGTTATCACTGTGCACATACCATATGTTTTCGGGGGTGGGGGGGCAGGGTTAAGAGCATTAGTTATAGCTGCATTATTCTATTATGTACTGAGAACACACATTTTTGGCACAATGGATTGTAAGGGATATTAACTGGTATTTTTATAAGCCTGGACATGTTTCAGCATTTCTGAAGATATTTAGCTATACAGTAGATGTTAACAGTTCCATCTAGCCAGCAGGTTCAATGAATGTCCTTACTAAGTGTTTCCAGAAAATGTCTTATTCTCTTTTTCTTGATGGGGTTGATTTCTTCAGCTCAACAATGACTGAGGAACATATGTGTGGCAGGGGAAGGAAGCATTAACTGAATCTGTTTCTGCTACATCTGTCCTGTGCCTAGAAAAAGCCCTTCCATCTTCAGACCTGTTGATCCAACACTTACTTCACTATCAATACTTTTTACAAACTGACACTGTGCACAGTATTGCTTCATGCAGGCGGGATATTTACAGACATGCTTCCTCGAAGAAGGAAATAAACCAGAACCAGGTGCCCGTGTTGCTGTTTGCAGAGCTATTCCTTTGGGAAAAAAAAACACTCACTTGCTTAGCTCCAGCCTTCTGTTCCATAGGAGTCATCCTTAATGTCTTTGTCTCCTTCTCATACTGGCAATAATATTTCACCCAAGATATGCCAAGGGCCCCTACAAAACCAGAAAGTCAAACATCAATAAAGAAAATGTTTGGGTTTCAGTGTAAGCTCTTTTGGGAGGGAACGTGATTTTTTGTGCATTTGTATGGGACCTAGAACCCTACTCCTGACTTGGGGCCATTAAGCAGTTCCTCAAAATACAGAGTACTAATAATGGGTACAGGGCCTCAGTATAACAGGCTGCAGAGTACATAGATGTTTTATTCACTAGTAGTTTTATTTATAACCCGGTTACTGATAGCAGCAGCAGTAATCAGGGAGGAAAGTGAGCATTGTTTATCATCTTGAACCAGTATCCCCAGAAGGAAAAAGGGAAGAAAGGGTGTTTGTGGGAGTGGATGATAGCAAGTCATCCAGGGCTGGCCAAGTCAACAAGAACCCAACCCTCTGAAATATCTGCTTTGAAATGGACAGCACTAACATTTCTTGTATTTTCTTTACTGACAACTTTTGTGGACAGAGAAAAGACAGCAGCACATTCAACTATAACTTTCAATCTATATAAATATCATGCCAAGGCTTATTTTCCACTGTGTTTCCATTGTTCTAAATAAGTAGTTTTACATGCTCAGTTAATATTTAAAGAACAAAAAGCACCAAACAGAATATTTAATAGGACGCGTTTGTTTTCTTTATCCAACTCATAGAAAAAAAGATTAAAAGGCAGTAAATATAGTTCATAATCATATAGGAACGTATAAAGTTTACTTGTGGTCCAGAATTACTATGTTTGTGTTTTCTCTTTAAACATCAGACTATTTAGCAGTGACATAGACAGGGGAAAAGTAGAATTATCTGTTTATAAAATTAAAAGAGTTTGCAGCCCTGGCCCAATATCTTGCTTACTGGCTTCCCTGCCGGAGCTTTTGAAATTGTAAATGTTTGTACTAGTAAAACCACTGACAGATATAAAGCACATGAATTATTAGAGGGGGGTGGGATTTCCTCATAGGACCATACCAATTATTAGCTGTCAGTGGGTGTATCTATATGTGCAATTAATGCGCAGCAATAAACTCCGGCATATATCATGCCAGAGATTATTGCTCCTGGGTGCCATATTTGAATGTGTGCCCAGGACCACAGCACGTTGAGCCAGGTCTGAACAGCCCTGGGCTGGCAGGCTGAACCCCCACGATTCCCTGTCAGCCAGGGCTGCTTCAACCCAGCTCAACACACTGTAGATGGGGTGGTAGGGGCACAAGGATGCTTCAGTACAGAGCTAGCCAGCAGGCAGCCCCTGCACTATAGCATCCTCGTGCCCCAGCCAGCCCCATCAGCATCTACGTGTGCACTGCTGCAGAGTAAAACACTCCACTGTTAGATAGAATTTGTGTTTACAAGTACTGCCCTAACCTATGGTGGGGTTAATTAGTTTACTCCATCCTAAAAGCACTGCAAGTGTAGACACTGAGATATTTACTGTGGAGATAATTAGGAAACTACACAGTAAATGTTTGGTGTATAGACACACCCAGTGAGGGCTTTTATCCTAGCAAATAGATGCCTGCTCATCCACACTAACTAGGTACATTACAGCTTATTCACCAAATGGAGTCACTGCATGAACTATCTGGTAGAAAGGCATAGGAGATGGAAAATATGGAGGCAGCAGGGAAATAATGTATATGAGGGTTTCTTGCTTCAAATGCTACATTGCCAGCTAGTTCTATGACTGAAAGAATGTCTCCTCTGCATTTTAAATGTCAGTACAAAACTGCAGTATTTGCAGGCTGTGAATACAAGTATATCTTAGAACCAAGGACAGGAATGAGCTTTGGCCAATGTGACAAATGTAACAGCTGTCCTGATCTTTGGGAATGCCAGAACTGCCTTGTTTTGGACACACAAATCACCATGATTCATGAAAAGCATAAAATAAATAAAAGATCAGCTTCTATGTCTCCTTCGTGTCTATGGGAGTATTTAGAACTAAACTGTAACTCCTCATCACAACTTTGATGGACTACCATGCACACAAAAGGCACACTGATGCCTTTTCTGCTGTGTGCCTAACCTACATATCCACTCTGGTATACTTCTGAATACACAGATTGATTTATTTGGACAGTCTCAAAACACTAACACTCAGCCCCTCAAGCTTGCCAAAAGTGGGGAGAAAGGACATCTGGAGAGGATGGAGGGACAAACTCCCACAGTCTCACTATAAAATTAGCATCAGAAACCTGGTATGTGCCTTCTGAACAAACTATACATTTAGCCTCAAATGAACCTGTGGAAAAGGAGAGGACAGGACAGGACAGATTTTGACACACACACTTCAGTTTCAAGGGAACTCCAGGTATGGGATGAAGCAGTGAGTTGAATATGGGTAGTGGTATTGCAGATATTTTGTATTTAGGAGTAGCAGATTCTGTTATGGGGACCGAAATCCTCCTTATTCAGGGAGATACCATAATATTGGTCAGGACCCCAAGTGTATTCTGGTAAAGAATCGTCAAGTCTGAATCTACCCATCTTTAGAATGGACTCTTAAATCACACCCATGTAATTACCAGGCAATTAGCAGCTTGTTCATGTACCTCAGTCCAAAGATGTTGTCTGGAACAGCACCTTCCCCAGCTACACTGGGGCTGTACTGCATTTAAAGTTATTGCTAAGTTGGGATCTGGCATGAGAAGGCATCAAGTGTGCAGCTACAGCAGTGGTTCTAAACGTTTTTTTAGGCTCAAGGCACCCATTGGAAAATGCCAGTACTCAGCTTTCATTCATTTTTTGACTACAGAAAAAATAACAGCAATTCTTTTGCAAGAAGTCAGAAAGACCACAACAGGTCAGAATGTTTTTGACACTACGGATTCTTAGCTGAAATCTCTGAGTTTCTCTTGTGCATCATGTAGGCACACCTAAGAAGGCTAACACTGCATGGCACCCTTGAAAAGATCTCAAGGCACCTCAGCACACCTGAGAATCACTGAGCTAGAGCATTAGATATGAGAAAGGTGTGAACCTCTGAACCTATGAGCTGCTGGCTCAGTAACAGTCCCACTGCATGACTGAGTCATGGCAACATTTGTACTTCCTATAGCTAAAAATACCTCTGTATACAGGTCCCTGACTGCTGGCTGAATGAAGCTTGCAGTGTTTGGATAAGTAGAGAGGTATGCTATACAGCCTGCAGCTGACCCTGTACTTCTTTAACACGTATGGATTCACACACAAGGCATTACATTTCTCCTGAGTGTAGAGATAACCCTCTATGGTTGGCTGCCCAGGTAGTTTGCATGTCAAGGGAGCTTCTTTCATCCTTTTCTTCAGGTCTTCCAACTCCTCTCGTGTGCTGGAAAAGTGATTCCTTGTCTGTTGAGAGAGAGAGAGAGAGAGAAATGAACTGTGCTCAAAAACAAGCAAGAAAGAAGGACACCAGGCCAAAAGTTCAGCCTCAAATTTTGAGAGTTTTTGCATGCAGGTCTCACATGTATGGATCTGGTAGCTGATCCTCAAATTCCCAACACACACAAAATGGCCACTAATCCTCTTTTGTGGGAATTATCAGTAGTACGGAAACTCAGGAAAAACTCAGACTACGTGAAAACTTGGTCCTTGCCAATCAAATATGGTGAACAGCACATGCCCAGAGCTGGGGACACAGTGTCAGAAAAAGGTAAGGTAACATAACCATGGCTAGAGCTTGTCTCTCTTTAACATGAAGGAACCACAACAGAACATTTTAACCATGTTAATGCCCACAAAAATAAGATCCGGGTGTTTAGAAACTAATTTAGGAAAATATAAAGTGAATTAGATGCACAATGGGCTTGGCACAGCTCTTGTTCCTCCAAAATGAACGTTGGCTATGAAAGATAACAAGTATAAAATAGGGCACAGATCCTTGAATGGAGAGTGTAATTAAGCAAAGAAACAACATAAAAAGGGATGGAGAGGGCAGATTGGAGTGAGTTATAATGAGCATACAGTGGGGCATAGATCTTTGAACACAGAGTGTAATTAAGCAATGGAACAGCTTAGAAACAGATGGAGTGGACTGGATGCCTTTGTAAAACCATGGTCTAATATTCACAAGACAAGGGGTTTGAGGTGGGAATTAGTGAGCAAAATTCCATGGCCTGTGTTAAATACAAGGTCAGATGAGGTGACCATTTCTTTCTGGCCTAAAGCACAGGGCTTCGTATACAAGACTAGCACCTGAAGAATCCCCAGGTGAACCGCAGGAGGAAATAAATTCTCAGCCAGGCATTTTTTATGGTAGAAACAATTTCTGCACCTGCTCCAGCAAGAAAAGAAGAGCTGCTTCCCCTCCACATTCAAAAAAACCTCTTATATTAGCAGTAATTAGTTTACAAAACAGGACAGAGTTTGCTTACAAAAGGTGCAGCTGGATGGGAACTTACATTTTGCAGGCTGAGCTGAAGTTGCTGTTTATAAGGAAGGAAATCCTGCGTGAGTTCGACTGTCAGGTTGTTATAGGTAAAGAGGCTGTGTAGAAAGGCCAAAACCTGTACAGGAAAGAATTTATTAGCCATTGTTTCTGAAACAGTGGTATATAATCTAGCAATAGGTGGGCAGGAAGTGTGATCTTAGCAGAAAACTAGTGTTAACAGCAGCCATAAAATAAAATCTGCAATCGTGTGAAAGGAGCCCAAGGCAGATTTGACCTGTACCCAGCATGCTGACAGTGAACGTAGCCAGAACTGCTTGGGTGGTGATTTTTTTTCAAAGTACGTCTGTACGATTATTTCAGGGCACCACCTACTCATGCAATATTTAACTAAGATAAGATATAGACCAGACCCTGTCAACCTATCCTCTAACATCATGCTAGCTTTCCCCATGTTTTGAGGACTGATTTCAGTCTGATATAACTAGCCCACAAGGTCCCAAGGGTTCCCAAGGCACAGGACAGTCTATCCCCTGAGAGATGACGTAATTATGGTGCTACATGTGTGCCTTGGCTGTCATCCTAAAATTAAAGGAAATGAAAGAACGTGTTGGAAGAAGGGCAAACTATTTAAGGACAGTTTATTCAATGAGTTCCATTCAGAATTTTTCCTCACGTTAACTTATTTTGATGAGACTACATCAGAATGAAGCTGTTCATTTAACGAATAACGCATTATAATTCACTGGCTCCCTGTTAGAGTGATAAGCTGAGATCTGACTGCTCTGTACTCGGGCAGATGGCTAGGCCAATAGGCGTCACTTATGTTTATTGTTATTTTCCTACGTTTGAAAACTACTGCTGACCAAGCAAGGTAACCAAGACACTTCTTGGCAAAATCTGCAGCTAGCTACCGTGTCCGGTTTATTAGGCAAATTTGAATTTTAGAGATGAAAGCAGCTTCCACTATTTCTCTTAGCCTTCATTAAGCAGCAGCAAACAACAGTTACCTGCATGTTTGGCCTGGCCTCATTACAGATGCCTACGTAAACTCCTTACTAAGACAGAACCCAACTAAATAATTTCCTACCCCTCTGTGTTGGCAAGTCAATAAATCTGAGTGTGTGAAAGAAAACGGGAGGTTCTTACTGGCTCCACAATACTGAACTTCTTGCTTTCCTGCACTTCCTGGATCTGGTACACATATTCAAGTGATGACTCAAAGAAATTGTGTCTCTCTTTGTCAACGACCAAGTCAGCCTGAATGAGAGGCAGAGAGGGAAAAATCAGATTAAGAAGTGGCAATACCTTAGTATGGTCTGTATGTTAGTTTGCAAATGGCACCCATCCCTTCTTAAAATCACCCAAAGGATTGAATGCAGGTTTTTCTTTCATTACTTGGATCCAGGTATTACTAGAAGGCATATTTCTTTCGACAACCTTGTCCAAGCAGATTCCAACTCTTATATGTAATCAGAACCTAGCATAAGTCTGCAAGGACAAGATTTTCTGAAGCACATTAATTACTGTGAAAAATGCCAGATGCAGAGTGCTGCAAACCGAAGTTTCCCTATTTAGCCACACAAGTAGTACAGCGCTGGCAGAGATAATACAAGCATACCAATGCCTCCATCTGGCATCACAGGACTTTGGGATCTCAAAGCAGGTATCTCTCTTGCTTCAGCAAAAAGAAACAAGCAGTAGAAACAAATCTTTCTATATGATCTAGACACTAGAGAGAGACAGTCACAAGGTTACACAATCTCTTCTATACTTCCTTGTAAAGGGACTTCAAGCTTGATCTGATAGAATTACTCCATGTTGGTGGAGGAGTCAGCAGAGCAACTGCACAGTTAAGTTTCCATGGCATA